AGGATGGCTCTGAGATTTACTTCATTGATGTTTCCTCTTTTTAGTGTATATCCCAGTGTTTCTACTGAAATCCTTATATGCATTTTGTGTTCTGTTTTTACATGGCAGATATCAGAAAACAAGAAATCTATAGAGAAGTTAAAAGATGTTATTTCCATGAATGCTTCAGAATTTTCAGAGGTAAAACTGACTATAATTCCTGCAGGACATTAAAACTATATCATAGTTTTATTGAGGAGCAAAAATTTGATACGTGCTAAAATGTGCAAAAAATGAAAACTAAGTGATGTTGGTTTGGGAAAATAACTTTTTTTTGGTTTTCTTTTCAATTAATTCACTAATAGGAGTGTTTTGCATTAGGTTCAAATTGCACTTAATGAAGCTAAGCTTAGTGAAGAGAAAGTGAAGTCTGAATACCATCGGGTTCAAGAAGAAAATGTTAGGCTTAAGAAGAAAAAAGAGCAGGTAAAGGAAAGTACATGCCCGGATCATGTAAAATGGAGAATCCAGTATCATATCACATGAATACCTTTTTTCAGATCTAGTTTTAAGGTAATGTACATGCAGGATTCTGTTCTTAGATATACAGTTTAAACTATACTTCCAAAATTGAGTATAGGTATACACTTTCTGTCCGTTCTGGATTTTCTGTTCTGTACAATTTATTTTGCCCATCAGAGTATTTAGTCTTGTTTTGTCAAACACCAATTACTATTAACTTGAGTAGCCTTAAGTGGGTAATAGATTGACTTTTTAGACCTAAGAATTAGATATTTTATCACCCTCCTTTTAGTAGTTACTGCTTCACTAGCCAAGGGAAGATTACATGATCAGGAGTCTAGACTTGAGAGATAGTAGAATGAGCCCTTCAGTTCCTTCTGGAAGTGAATTATTTGAATTGGCTATAATTTACTGGAGGATGCAATAAACGTGATCAATTTCCTTTTCAGCTCTGATGTTCTCACTATAGCTCTGAGGATTTGGGTCACTTTCTCTTCCCATTTAACCAAGGTCTTACCCCATAGTGATAGGCTAAGGAGAGGCATGGCTCCTTACCTCCCTGTCTCATTCACTTGGTCTTGTCCCCAGTGCAAAAGCCCTAACCTGTGGGAATCCTGTGTTTAACTTTTCAGTTGCAGCAGGAAATTGACGACTGGAGTAAATTACATGCCCAGCTCAGTGAGCAAATCAAGTCATTTGAGAAGTCTCAGAAAGATTTGGAAGTAGCTCTTACTCACAAGGATGACAATATTAATGTAAGTACATTCTCATGAATACAAGCTTAATTCTTGTGAATTATCATGAAATCCATTGAACTAAAATGGAAAGACTCTTAATGCCCTTTTGCTTCTTTTCTAGGCTTTGACTAATTGCATTACACAGTTGAATCAATTGCAGTGTGAATCTGAATCTGAGGGTCAAAATAAAGGAGGAAATGATTCAGATGATTTAGCAAATGGAGAAGTGGCAGGTAAAATCAGTCTCAAGGAGGATGGACCCCTTTTCCCTTCCTATCTTTAAGTACACTAATGCTACTTTTCATCTGGTTGCATTTCCTCTTAAGCTTTAGAGTTGTTAACACATATCACTGGATTTGTGTATATGTCTATTTGCATTGGGCAGAGGTGGATTGCTAGGGTATGGCGTAGCAATGAGCATGCAAGGAACACTGACTTTGTTTTTACATCTCCTTGAGACTAGAAGGGTGCATGGGAGCTGCACTGGTCATATCTCACAACTTTAAGTATTGAACATATACAGTAATAGAAACTGCATTTCTCAATTGAATGGAGATAACATTTTAAAACTCGTCATCTCAGGTGCTGTTTGGTTTTAAGGCCCACCACTGGTTTTAAGAGTACTGAGGTGATTGGAGGCATAAACTAAGGCTGTGAGAGAAAAGCACAACTGGTTTAAAGAGTACTGAGGTGGTTGGATCCAGAAACCAAGGCCATGAGAGTGGAAGCTATAGGGTAGTAGTGTTTACTGATGAGGAAAGTGTTTCAGATGTTGTCTCTCAAGTTGGATATTGCTTACATAGTCAGCGTTTTAAACCACACCTGATAGCAGATTCTGGAAGAGAATAGGAGGGAATCTTTCTGAATGAGACACTTACTAAGCCCAGGTGGAGATAGATCTGAGATAGAAGACAGAGCTTTATCTCACATGTTTCTTCTTGCTCAAGAATGGCCTGTATAACATGTTTATTGTGCAAATGGTAATTCACTTTTTGGATCTAGGTTTGCAGTTCTCTAAAAAGTCAGTCTAATCCTATTCTTTTTTTTTTTTTTTGGTTCTTTAAATGTTTGAACATGACAATTGTTTAGTTTTGCATAAATCAAGAAAATACAGATTTAAAATGCAAGGGAAGAAAAAGCAATGAAAGTCTTTTGTTTTTTAGGTGACCAGAATGAGAAGATGAAAAATCAAATTAAGCAGATGATGGATGTCTGTCGGGTATGGTCCTTTTTTAGAGTCCCATAAGTGCCTGTGAATGCTTTTACCATGTCTCACTTATATGAATACTTCTCTCTTCTGTAATATTTAGACACACACTGCAATATCGGTAGTTGAAGAGGATCTAAAATGTTTACAACTTAAGCTAAGAGCCTCCATGTCCACTAAATGTAACCTGGAAGGTAGGTTGCTTCTTGAGAAGAAATTGCTATGTTTTGGAAAGATCCAAAATTGCATTAGATAGATAAAGAGTGGTTTCCCGCTTTCATACTTCTCACTCCTCTCAGCACCAAACCCCCAACCAAGTTCCCAAGTTCTTGTGCACACATGTAGAGCTCAAATGTTTTACCCTTTACAGACCAGATAAAGAAATTGGAAGATGACCGCTACTCACTGCAATCTGCCAAAGATGGACTGGAAGATGAGTGCAGAACCCTGAGGCAGAAAGTAGAGATTCTGAATGAACTGTATCAGCAGAAGGAGATGGCTTTGCAAAAGTAAGATTTTCATCATTTACTGTTCACTGTCATGTGACTAAATAAAGGTGTACTAATATAGACAATGTTATCTTTTTTAGGATTACTTATACATTTTTCCATCTCTAATTAGTACAAATTTGTCTTTCGTCCCATCTGCTTTGTTTTTCATAACCTGCATTTTTCTTTCCTTTCTAACCAGTTGTCAGAAACTGTTGCCTGTAACTCATGTAAGGGGGAGCAGTTGACTGGTACTGACAGTTACTGCTTTGGAAGTGCTTCTGTTTTGAAGATCTGTCCATGCCTTTTCTGTGGCTCCACCACTTATTTCACTTTCCTTTCTTTGTGGTCAATTATGTAATTTCCTTTAAAAAGTCTGAGTGATTTGTATGACGTGTTTTAGTAGAATAAACACTTGAAAAAAGGAAATTTGACTTATGAAAAGTACATTAAGTTTTGGACTTCACAGAGTCAAATATTCAGACTAA